TGTGCTTTGTTCGTTCATGGAATGTCGGATTCTCTGCTATGTGAACTGCGGATTGATTGTCGCAGTACAAGATAGCTGGTTGCTGGTGGAACACTTTGAAATCATGAAGAAGGTAGAGGAGGGATTGAAGTTCGCAGGTTGTATCAGCCATGGCCCTGTATTCGGCTACGCAAGATGACCTAGAGATTGTCTTGTGCTTCTTGTTGCGCCAGGAAATCAATGCATTCCCAAGATACACGCAGTATCCAGTCACTGATCATCTGGTGTCCATACACGCAGCCCAGTCAGAGTCACTGAAGGACTTGAGATGAAGAGTTGATGTAGAGGGAAAGAAGAGTCCAGTGGATGGTGCTGATTTGAGGTACTTCAAGATCCTTGTGACTGCTTGAAAATGTTGATTGCTGGGATTAGACATGTACTGGGCTACTTGTTGTGTAGCAAAGCTGATATCAGGGCGGGTTGTAGTTAGATAGATCAGTTTCCAAACTAATCTCCTGTAGAATGATGGATCTGGGTAAGGATCAGAATGATTGGAAGATAGATGTAGTTTATAGTCCATGGGAGTAGAGACAGGCTTTGATGATAGAACTCCTGCTTCCTCCAAAATCTCCAGTGTATATTTTCTCTAAGATAAATGAATCCCTGATGAATTTCTGGCAACTTCAATGCAAAGAAAGAACTTGAGTGGACCCATGTCTTTAATACTGAAAGTTTGATGAAGAACTTGCTTAAGCTGTGTGATTTCTGCCAAATCATTTCCTCCAAATAACAGATCATCAACATAAACCAGAACACATGTGTATGATTCAGCAACTGATTTAGAGAAAAGAGAATGATCAAATGGACTAGGTATAAAACCTTGTTGAATGAGGCAATCTGCCAACTTAGCAAACCACTGTCTGGAGGCCTGTTTGAGGCCATACAGGGACTTTTTGAGTATGAAAACAGGATTGGGGATGTTTGGTGGTGGTTTGTAGCCTTCGGGAAGCTTCATGTAGACTTCCTCTGTGAGGTCTCCATGAAGAAAAGCATTGTTCACATCAAGTTGGTGAACATGCCAAGATTTTGAAGCTGCAATGGCTAGAAACAATCTCACTGTTGTCATTTTGACAACATGAGCAAAGGTATCTTGGTAGTCTATCCCTTCCTGTTGATTGTAGCCCTTAGCAACCAATCTGGCTTTCTCTCTCTCAAGTGTGCCATCAGAAAGGAACTTGTATTTGAATATCCATTTGTTCCCCAATGGTTTCCTCTGTGGGGAAAGGGATACCACATCCCAAGTTTGGTTCTGCTCTAGAGCATCAATCTCTTGATTGATGGCTTTGTTCCATTCAGGTCTGAGGGCTGCCTCCTCATATGTCTCTGGTTCGTTGTGACAAGAGATGTTGAGAATGTATTTCAAATGTTGAGGAGAAAGATTAGTGTAATCCAAAACTTGTGATAAAGGATAGGTAATACCTGAGACCTGTTGCTGGAGAGAGTGACCAGTGGAAGAAATCTGCTGAAGCAGGTTGCAATGGTAGTTTTGTAACTTGGTGGGGGTTTTGATTGTTCTAGGTTGCTTCCTGATGGCAATGGGAAGTTCTGTTTGTGGTGAAGGAGGTGGGGTGGGACTTGGTATAACAGGAGGAGAGGAAGTTGAAGGTGTTGTAGGTGGTGGTTGAGGAGAGTTAGTGGTAGGATGATAATCAGGAACTGGGTTTGGGGGAATAGGGTATGGAGGTGGTGGGGTGATGGTATGGTCTGGAGGGGTGGTTGGGGATGATTGAAAGGGAAATTCTGTTTCATAAAACTGGACATCTCTAGAAATGAAAGTCTCATTGGAGAGAAGGTCATAGAGCCTGTATCCTTTAATGCCTGAAGGATAACCTAGAAAAACACATTTCCTGGCTCTCTCTTGGAATTTGGTTCTGTGATTTTTTAGGGTAGAGGCATAGCAGAGGCAGCCAAAGACCTTTAGGTCTTGCAGATCAGGTGGTTTGTCATGTAATTTTTGGTATGGGGTGAGGTTGGCTAGGACTGGGGTGGGAACTCGATTGATTAGGTACACAGCATGCTTAACACAATCACCCCAGAAGCCTATGGGGAGGTTTGCTTGGAATTTGAGGGCCCTAGCAACAGCTAGAATGTGTTGGTGTTTACGTTCAACTTTGCTGTTTTGCTGTGGAGTTTCCACACAAGACATTTCATGTGTGATGCCTGATTCAGCAAAAAAATCAGACATCTGGAATTCCAGACCTTGGTCACTACGAATGGTTTGAACATTTTTCTGAAATTTGGTTTTGATCATAGTGCAAAAATGTTGTAGTTTAGGTCTGGTTTCAGCCTTTGTGGATAGAAGGATGATCCAGGTCATCCTAGAATGATCATCAATAATGGTTAAGAAGTACTTAAAACCATCATAAGTAGGAAAAGAGTAAGGGCCCCAAATATCAACAAGTATAAGCTGGAAACAGTGTGTAGTTACAGTTGAACTTGTAGGAAAAGGAAGCCTCTTTTGTTTAGCAAAATGACAAACATCACAAGGGAGGCTGCTATTAGTTTCTATGGATGTACAAAGTTGGTTCAATGGGGGAATTCGACTGTGGGAAACATGTCCAAGTCTGAAATGCCAAATATCTAAGGAAGGTGAACTAACACCAGCTGTGATGTGGTTTGGAATACTAGCTAGGTTTAGGTTGATGTGGTAAAGGCCATGGTAAAGCTTAGCAGAACCAGTCACTCTCTTCAGCTCCAGATCCTGTATGGTGCAAGAGTCAGAAGAGAAGGTTAAGCACAATGGTCTGGTGGTGGTTAACTTGCTCACTAAGATCAGATTGAATGTAAATTTGGGAACAAATAAGGCATCCTCAAGGATCAAACCATTAAGGCAATGCACTTGGCCAATGTGAGTGGCCTGAACCCTGTCACCAGTGGGCAGGTTTATGTAGATGTGATCCACCTTTTTGGATTGTTGTAGAAAGGTGAGAGAACTGACAATGTGGTCAGTTGCCCCTGTGTCAAGTATCCATGGGGTAGCAGAATTGCTATTGTTCAGAAGGTAGCAAGAATGGTTACCTGAGGTGTTTGGCTCATAGTGAGTGGTCAGTGCTGCTGAATGGGTAGGGTGAGTTTGTTTCCCTTTGAGATCGTCAGTCATGAGAGTCATCAATCTGTCATAATCAGCCTTGGTGAGTTTGAACTCATGTTGGGGGTCTGAAGAAGATCCACTATCAGTGGCATTGATCATAGTTCTGGGGCGAGTGGAGGATGGTCTTGCTTGGGAGGATGGAGGATAACCATGCTTCTTAAAGCATTTGTCTTCAGTATGGCCAATTCTCTTGCAAAAAGTACATTCAGGGGGTTTGTTGGATGGGTTTGTGTTCATAGAAGAACCTCTGGATGATAAACCTGGTGGCCAACCATGTTTATGGTAACATGTCTCTTCAGTATGGCCTGGAGTATTGCAGAAAGTGCAATGAGGGCGTTTAGCATTTGTAAAAGGGCGCTTGGAACCCTAAGCAGCAAAGGCTGAACCTTCAGAAGTGATGGTTTTGCCTTGTTGAGTGCCATAAAGCTGGCGTTAATGTTGCAAAGCCCTCTGAAAGACCCTATCAATGGGAGGTAGGGTATCTCCAAATAGAACTTGAGACCGGACAGTGGCATAATTATCATTCAGACCACGAAGAAATTGGACAACAGAGTTGACATGACGATAGCTCATAACAGCATTTAGGGCAGCACAGTCAACAGAACTAGTTTCTGTGCAACGACATGGGTTGATAGGCTGATAGTTGTCAAGCTCATCTAGAAAAGCGATGAGATTTCCATAATATTCGGTAACAGTTTGGTTACCTTGTTTGATGGTTCCAATGGACTCTATGAGTTCAGCAACGCGAACCATTTCACCTTGACCATAGCGAGCTTTGAGACTGTTCCAAGCTTCTGATTCGAGCTTGCAAGACATGATAGTTTTCTTGATGCCATGGTCAACATCTTGTTGAATCCAGCTGAGAACCATGATATTGTTTCGACTCTAGGAAGATAATAGAGGATCTGTTTGATCAGGGGAAGGAATTGAGCCATTGATGAAGCCAAGCTTGTTCTTGGCGGCCAGAGCATTGAACATGGCCTTGCTCCAGTCATTGTAATTGGTGGTGGTCAGCTTCTCACCTACCATAAGAAGTCCAGGTTGCTCAGAACCATGGAGATAAAAGGGATCCGCGGTGGGATCTTGGATTTGTTATGTTGCCATTGTAGAGCGGCGGCTAGGGTTGCTCTGATACCATAACAACAGGTATGCTTTGGAAACCCTAAACTTGTCTTCTCATTGATTTGGTTTGATCTTATATACAAGGTTTGTTCATTACAAGACAAATGCAGTAGCTGTAATTGACAGGGAAGAAGTACGAAATGCAGAACAAAGAGGGAACAGAGACAGAGCTAAGGAAAGAGACGTTGTGGCCTCAGGACACAACGTCGACGTCTTCGTCTTTCAGCTACGGCAGCGTTTCGACAGTCTTCAGACCCATAAGTTGAGACGGCACCGTTCCAGGTTACTCTTGCTTCGCTTTGCCTGAAACGACATCGGACCAGCTCTTAGCCGTTGAAGTGGCGGATGAAATTTTGAAATTTTCTCTGATACATCTCAAAGAGATGGAGTTGGAAAGGTTGAGTGGGTTGTGGAAGCATATTGAAAGCAGCAACAATGGTGAATCCAATTACACAACTAGGAACCGTTACGGAAGGAGCAACTCATTGAAGACATCTGCAGGTTCCTTAGATTATATATTTGACATGCTTCCTCATTCAAGGTACCACATCGGTAATACAAGGGAAGGAACCCTTGTATATTAGTGTCCACCAAGTCCAATTAGTATGGGGCCTTTTGGGAAGGACACCCTAGAGTAAATTCGTGCGGGTTTGACCCAAAGCGGACAATATCGTACTAATTGAGCACCCTGATTTGACAGTAGTGTTCATCAAGCTTTCATTTTGAAACGGACAATGGGCTAAGAATTTCTTTTTCCTTGTATTCATTGTACATAATTATTTCCCATACCATCAGTATAGAAGTTGTGATTCATCTGTTGTCTTGAACATTGGTATCCCTGCTGTTGTCATGCATCTGATTAAGTGATTATACTATGTATATTCTTGTTCTCGGATTACATTAAATTCCCTCGTTAACATTCCTTAGAAAGGTTTAACAGTTTCCTTCTTCATGATGTAGAGCAAGAACTCGTTCCATGTGTCAATAGGCCCTGGCAAGCACCAATGAACACAATCATTCACCGTCATATTCTTTTCTTGTGATGTATACCCAAATCGACTTGGGTGCCCATCTGGCCTCAGCAGCATTGCTTCAGTAGCAGCCAGCAGCTCAAATTTCAACCCTTTGCTCTTCCCTTCTCTCTTTGCCTTCTCCAGCTCCCTAATTTGTGCCTTGTAAAACTCTAAAGTGTACCCTTCTAGCTTCGCTTCTCCATTCCTCGACGGTCTTGTCCTCAAACAATCTCCACCAGAGTTCCATTCTCCATTCTCAAAGTGGGAGGGAGAAAATGTCCTCAGGAATGTGATGCCCTTGTAGTTCTCCAGGCTTTGGAGGTAGCTCAAGGCAGTTCGGAAGGCCATGCTGTATCCATAGTAATGTGTGGCCGAAGTAACGGTCTTGTTTCTGCACTTGTGGCAACTCACCAACTGCTCATCAATGTAGTACATAAGCGGTCTAAAGAACCAGTGGCCAGCAGAGATGATCACAAAATCGAAATCCTCGATCTGGGTGGCCCATTCCTCACTAGGCTGGTCTAAGTATAGGTTCATGGTGCTGTCGAGGGAAGGCCCGTTTGGGTCCGAGTCTCGTGCTTTGACCAAGAAGGGAGACCAAAATGATGCCAGTGTGAATGCATGGTCTGGGTAGAACCATCTTGTGGAGTATGCCCTGCTTGTTGCGTTGCTTTGAGACCTGTTCTCAGGATATGACACCTGAAAAGATGCAAGAAAAAATAGGGATGGTGAACAATAGGCTGCTTGCACCTTTTGAACCCCAGCTTATGCATTCTAGCTTAGGGTTCCCTGCATTTCTTAAGAGGGCCATCACTCATTATTCATTTATAGTATATATCTGTACAATGTTGTGAACACTTACACTCATTAAGAGACAGAGCAGTGACTGTGCTTGATTCCATCCGACGGAGTCTCCAATGAATGCCATAGACTTCCCTCGAACGAGCTGTAGGAACTGCACTGCGTCGAATAAAGGCAGCTCGCAGTCCTTTGGCCTCCATCTCCACTTCATGAACTGTCTATCTGACCTTCCAGATCTTATGCAGTTGTTGTGTGGAACTATGAAGGGGCATTGTTCACTGGTGTAGTTAGGTCCTCTAGGATAAGGAACCCAGTCTCCTGTGAAAATATTACATTCTCTCTGTCTTGCAATGCTCTTGATAGAAGATAGTAATTGTGAACCAGAGCTCTTGAATACTAGACTAAGAGGGACTAGGGTTAGGGAAATTATAATGAGAGACATCAGAAGTAACCTGTTGGGGGTATCATAGCAGCTTGGTGAAAGAACCTTCATGGTGGGACAAGTGTGAAGAAGAAAAGAAGACTTGGGTTGGTTTAGTGCTGGTGCAAAATCATGGAGGAACTTGGAGCAGCAAACTTTCACCTGATGGTGTCGGTTTATATAGTGGAAGGGATATGATGAACTAGTGCTGATTATGTATGTGTTACTCCTCTGATTAAGTTATCATTTGTCAACAGAAAAATGCATTACAGAACCCCTTTTTCTTGTTCTCTTTTCGGATCTGCTAACCACCTTTGTTTCAACGCTTTGCTTCTTCTTCCTGAAACAGAGCAATATATATTCATTTGGAAACTTCTCAAGTGTCATGATGCAGCATCATTGCCTGTTTTGATTGAACTTCTGCGTGTCGATATACTAGAGCGTCTCTTTTTACTTTCAAGCTCTGAATACAACACTCGTAGTACTGCTAGCATGAGTAATTTTGGGGTGACTTAGTCATCACTGCCCTTTCTCTCTGCTTAAATCAGCCGTAGCACTTGTTAGAATGGATTGTGAAATCGACAACAGAAGAAAGCAAAATATATATAGATTTACATTGTTCACTAATACAATGTATGTTAGCTAATTAATGTGCAAGAAAGAGTAGTTTCACTATACGTGAAAGGATACAACAAATAACAGAGATTGAGAATATATATATATATATGGACCATTCTATCGTACCCGGGTAAAATCCGGGGTATGTCGTACATTGAGTAAGAAAATGATATCTAGACCTTGAATTTACCGGAGTTTGGCATTTGGAACTATTCTCAAACTCTTAAAGATTAAAATCTATGTCTTAGTTCTATAAATCTCATACATGAAGATCAATTTATTGAGAAACAAAAATTGACGGTCATGATTCGTTGAAATATATGCAAAAAATTACATGCACAATCTTAGGGGTTAGGCTCTATGATCTAGAAAACTAAGACCTAGGGTTCACCCATCAAGGGTTAGGGTATAGTATCATGCCCAGAAATGCAGTTAATTCGAGTTCTAGATAGCGTTTTCTTACTTAGGGTATGTCGTACCCTAGATTTCACCCAAGTTACGATAGAAACCACCATATATATATATATATAACAACTTCTTCATATGATCTAACCTAATCCAATTTAGAAAAGTAAAGTTTACAAATGATCTATTTTCAAGTCATAACAAGAATATTGTGGCAAACTGTTTGCTAGCTCTTTATTGGTAGAACATGAAGAATTTGTGTAAAGAAGAAGGGCTCCTTTCAAGCATTTTTCTTGGGCCGTCCGGTTAATACGTGAGATACAAGGTTTGTCCGCGACTGGGGACCTTATTCGTAACTTGGGAGCAAAGTCATTTCCACCGATTAATAACGAGGCTTCCATTTGCACATATCCAAATCCACCATCGAGTTGGACGTGTGGTTTCTTTTTTCCACATTGGAATAATGTGTACGATAACGCCTTTTCTTGGGATTAATGTGCACAAAATCTACACCTTAGTGCGTTCAGTATGTTGAGGAGACTGCATCAGGTAGCATAATTTAATATGTTAATGGCCATTTTATAACAACCATATAGCATTCATTTCAATTTCGATTAAAAAAAAGTAGAAAAATGCATCAAAGCTCATTTGACCGAGCACTTCTACTATGCTATAAAGTATTGATGCTTTAATGTACAACTTAAAGTTGTATCATAATGTTAAATGTATAAGTTAAAGTTGTACCATAAAAGAATTTGTACTCTTATGTTATGGTACAACTTTATAACTTAAAGTTGCACCATCACATGAAGGTACAAGTTTAAGTTGTACCATAAAAGAATTTGTACAAAAGAGTATAAGTACAATCTAAAGTTGTACCATAATGTTAAAGGTACAATTTCAAGTTGTACCATAAAAATAAACAGCTATATAGCATTGGAGTTGTACCATAAAAACAAACAATTATAGCACCAATGCTATATAGCATTGTAACATTCCCCCATTTGACCTAGCTGGAACGAAACTCATATACTAAGATCTTGGTTTAAACTCAAGTAATTAATGAGCTCATAAACTCTATTTGAGCTCTGCTTCAATGCAACTCATTTTTTAGTCTTAATGATTCAACTATTAAACTAACTTCTAAAATAATTTATAAATATAATACTCTAATATTTGTATGTCATATGTGATATATATAATTAATATAGCGATGAAACAAATAGTCAATTTTCATCACGAATTGATCTCATATTTATGAACTCTGTTGGTGTCATATAAATTAGTTCATAATTTTCAACTAGTTCATATCTAGTGATGGCTTCAGACTCGCCCCGACAGGAATTTCCCGACCTGCCTCGTGATGGAGTGGGTAAAACCCGATTTGTGCTAGAATGGGGGAAGGGAATTTGACCCAACCCGCATATAGAACGGGGAGGGGCATGGGTATATGATTCGGGCATAATTGCACTTGTTTTGCCCCCGTTTTACTTAGGTGTTTGTGCCAAATTCACTCCTTAAAGGTTGGTTTTACGCTAGGATCTTCGTGTTCGAGTGTGTTTCAGGATTCAGCAGGTGAAACCAGTCTCAGAGTCGAAAGATTGGCGAAAATGATCGAAAACCGGGAGAAGAGGTGAAAAAGAGCCAGCTCACGGCTAACAAAGGGAGTTCACGGTCTTGCATGACCGTGAAGAAGAAGAGTTGACCGTGAATCGTTAGGCGTCCAGAGCAAAGTGAATGTTAGTGACTCAAGGTGAGTTCACGGTCACTAGGACCGTGAACAAAGGCAGTTGACCATGAACTCGAGTGAACGATGCGGGGCGTTTTGCCACGCGCCTGCAGTTCACGGACGTGTTTTATGGTTCATGGTCGTGAGCTCAGGCCGTGAACTCAGCTCATCTCTGGTTTAAAAGATGAGCGGAAAGGAGGAGAGAGGGGAGAGCCCATTTGGTGTGAAAAGCCTTCTTCTACATTCTAGAGAGAGAAACACGAAACTAAAGGGAGAAGAAGGCTAGGGTTTAGCTTCAAGGCACATTTTGGGAAGATTTCCTCCAAGGAAAGCTCAACTAAAGGGCCAAGAAGACTAGGAGCATCCTCCAAGATGGTTTCCATCTCTTTCCCTTTTGTTTTCCCCACTTCTAGCATGGAGTAGACCTCATTTCACTTGGCTGTTGTGATACCCTAACTCTATCATGTAATTTTCTTTTACGTGTTTTGGATGATTATCATTGGGTATTGTTTAATCCCCCTTACCCTAGCTTGGAGAGGAAAATCCCCCTTCCAAGGGAGACTCAATCGAGTTGGTTTTCCTTCCGCTTTCTAAGCCACCTAAACTAGGTTAAGTTAGGAAAACCCTCAATATTGAGTTAAGCAAATCGGTTGATCGTGATTAAGCCGTCCGACCTTAGAGTTGAGTGAGGGAGTAAGTTAATTACCGATTGTCTAAATCGAGAGGGTCGAGTGACAATTGAGATTGTGGTCTCTGACCATATATGCATCCCTCTGCGGTTCACGATTACCGTGCCCAAAGCAATCGTTCCGATTCACGTAGCATGGTAGCAGTTCGGGAGGAGCGACACCCGAGTGATCTTTCCACCAAAGAGTTATCAAAACCATTTACCTTTGATTTCTTTCATTTCAATTAGCAAACCTTTAAACCGAAGTTTTGTTGCTAGATAATGATTTCAACAACTGAAGTACGGGTAGACGGACCGGCCCTGGTCGATATCTAAATACTTGCCCTTTGGGCTCTATTTGAGATTTTATTGTGGTTTAGTTTCGTGTGAGTCGGTATATCTGACACCCCGCCCCATCCAACCCTGCCATGTACATGAAATATAAGTATTTGCTGGCAACTCACAATTTTTCTCAGCTTGTGATTGCATATTATCTTCATTTCCTTGGCCGACATCATCGTATCTTTAGTTAACCCACTTATTAATATGTTTGGGAATGGGAGAACAAGAACCATCGTTGGGAGCGATGGGAAGGTGGCTGCTCGGCCATTCCGACGACGACACTAGTTGCTCAATATTGGTAAACAGGGTAGGGCGTGGTTTACCTGCTCGTGCGGGGCGAATCTTGGGGCAAAACTAGTTTAACTACCGCGAGGCAGTACATATCATCTACGTGCAGGGCGGGGCAAGACATGAGTTTAGTGGTACCTGCCCCAAATTGCCCTATTTCCATTACAATTCATATAATGTTATTTAATACTTAATAGTAATTAGTATTTTAGCAATTTATAATATATATTTGCGGTTCAAATTATAATGAGACATATTTGGTCCTATGCTTAAAGTCTTAAACCATAACATATTATATGATATATAATCTAACAAATCTATGAATTATCAACAATTCAACTTATAAATTATATATTAATTCGCTCATAAGCCACCAGTCGACCTGCTCGCCATTCACATTATTGTGATAGCTCATGAGCACAAAACAAGTCAGCTCACAAGTTTACCTCAACAGGCCACCGAGTCGATAAAACCCACAAACTGATTAATGTTTAGGTCTAATGAAATAAATACCAAACGAGTATTTCTCGAATCAAACATCAATGTACCACTTGTGTCATTTGCAACCCTATCTCAAATGAAAAGGCCACTCTTAGAGACCTTTATTAACTGGGAAACCAACAGTGCTAAGGAATATTGAGATAGTTTGACTATCACCCATACATATGCCACCCTATACCTTGAAGCAGAACGTGAGGCATTAGGCCCAAGTGGAACATCCTAAGCCTAGCCCATTATTATTATTATTATTATTTCTCGTATTATTATTTGTTGAGATATTCGGTTATTATTTGGTTATTCGTATTAGTTTGTGTCTTGTCTAGAAAGCTATCATTTACTTGTTGTTCTGGGATTGGGTTTCTTTGTCTTAAGAGTAAGGGGGTTTGTAGGATTAGTTCGATAAATATGTACCTTTTTATCTTCGTTTTATTCATTCGATCAATAAAGTATTAGTAGTTAGTAGAGAAAAGTAGCTCTTTTATCCCATTTTCTAGTTCTTTCACCAAATCGCTCGAGTTCTTCGGTGCGTGAAACCCTATCACGCATCAATTGGTATTCGAGTTTGGTTTCGAGTGAACCAAGCCAGGAGACCATGTCGCC